GAAGACTTTGCCTTTATAATGCTTAGACCTATGGGCCTGTACTAGGAAAGCAAGCTGTAATCAGCTTAGCTGATGCTGAATTACACTTACCTCCACTTCGCCTCTTTAACTTCCCATAAGCATGCTAAGCACCTCTTTAAAATACATTGACCTCTAATTATTTCTTGCTTTATGTATCCCTTAGCCCACATTGAAGAAATTAAAAAAATATATTCCAATTGGTGTACCGTGCAGAACAATACAACCTGCTTTTGTTTGGCTTTGTTCTGTATGAAGAATTAAACTTTTACACAGTTGCATTTTCCAGAACTCAAAATGCCATGTGTAATGATTAAATTTCATACTTTATCATGTAAAGTGACACTGATTAAACTGTTTTTAAGTAATGGGGGGCAAAATTGCATTATTCAGGCTTTTGACCGTGAGATTACCAACTTGCAAAAATTCTAGCTATGCCATCAACTTCACTCTGAGGTCTTTCTGAAGTCACAAGATGCACTGGATTTGTGGGATTTGTGCACTGGGACCTGTGCATTAATACATCTACCTTGGTAACATTCGCTCACTTCTGAAGGCAGAGCATGGATGGTAAACAAGCTGGCTTTATGCTTGAGTGAGAGCATTTCACTTTCTTTTCAGTGGAGGAATTTTCAGCCTGGCAGCAATAGCATTATAATAACTGCCAGCTGCTCACTTGGCACAAGAGTGCCTAGAACCAAGAGGAAGAACCTGGTGCATTTATGTATAATTTATTTTTCTTTAAGACTTGAAGGTTTAGGCCTCATGAATATTTTTATCTGGTCTTTGTATGCATCAGTCTGGGAATATGCAAGTGGAGCCTGCAGATTTTGGTTTGGAGTACATTGCAGTAATTCCCACCAGGATAAGATGAGAAATTATTTTGGGGGATTCATCAGTGAGTGGGTGGTCAAGAAAGAAGGAAAACCTTTAACAATAAGCAGATGGACCTCCCTCATTTTATACTATCTATTGGGGATGCGAGATAATCATCTCCCCAAATATTGGACAGTATAGACATGATTTTCACATCAAAAGAAGAAAGTTCAAGACATTATTTGTGAAGCAGGAACTCGGGAATGGAAAGGAGACGTTTTTGTGTTCTCAGCTCTGTACTTGCCCACCACTGTCAAGGCTGCAGAAATGACATCTGCAGGGGTTCACAGGAGCAACATTTATACCTGTATCTGTAAACTCACACAGCTGCAAGCAACAGACCACTTTTTGACTCACAGTGCCACTTTCATCTAGTATTTACACCTGGTTTGAAAACCTACAGTCTACCAGAGGAGGAAATACGAAAGGTTTTTGGTAATGTCTTTATTCATAAATTCTTGAGATGTATCTGGAGACAGACTGTAAGGGGCAAAAAAGGTAGCAAGTCCTGGTGGTCTCTGTTAGGCTGATTCTGGGAGAGAAATTTTACTCTGATCTGGTAGTAATTGGGCCATAAGTATCTGTGCAAAAAACACTGAGGCACCCAAGAAAATTAACACCAGTAGGAGCTATTTGGCATTCCTAAGATGCAAGCTCCTTGCATCTCTAAGTTTCATTTCTTATGGGGGACAATCTCCAGTGAATTAGAGGAGACTGAGATCCAGACCATTTCACTTGCATCTGTGAGGGAGGGGAGAAATTTCTCCTTGCTCTGAAGAAGTCGTGGAGCATGCGTGAGAGTATAGTATGGGACTGGCATTTGAGAATTCAGAGCTCTAAACACAAAAGGAATACGTGATTTAAAAAATATTCATTCTTTCTTGGCAGTCTCTGTGTGTTAAGTAGATTTTCTGGAGAAGGAGCTGTCTTATTCAGACTTCCATACAGTAGTCATTTAATGAGTCTCTGATCTCAGCTGCTGGTGTAATGTAAACAAATGCTGCTGTACTATAACAAAGTGCTGCTTTATTTTTTTATTTTTATCTTTTTTTTAAAGATTTGTGCCAAGCCTGTTCTATTTCAAATGAATGGGGAAGCAACATTTTGCCTGAAAGCAACAGCTAAAAAGCAACCTGCTATACAAATCCCAAACTTTTAGTTGGGAGCTCCCACATATAGGGCTTGCTCCCACATATAGGGCTTGCCCTCTACCCTCTTGTCCATGTCTCAAACAGGATTTAAAGCAATGAAAGAAACAGAAGAAAGGTAGAGGGGTCTTTTGCGCTGGCTCTAGGCAGTAGCTGGAAGGAAAATGTCATTCTCTTTTCTTTCTTTTCCTCCTTGCTTGTGTTGCAGTACAGGGGTAAGATTTAGTCTATGTTTGTGCCTTCTTCCTGCTGCATATGCACAACACCTGTAGTTAATAAGAATCTGAGAGGAGGTGGTTCTTTCTTTTTCCTTTATCCTTTTGATGCTACTTGTTCTTCCTCCCCTTTCCTCTAGATGCGCAGGGGAATGAAAGAGAGAATTTAGTCAGATTTATGCTTTTTTTTTCATGTACAGCTGTATATGTCTTGGAATATTACAGTTTGGTCACTCTCCCCTGCCCTTCCACTAAAGTTTCATCATGTTTCATGGTTCCCAGGCTTCTCAGACAGCAGTAGGATAATAAGCCTGTGATCTATTTCTGCTTGGGCTACTTACAGGTTTTGGTCGACAGTGAGGCTGACCAGCTGCATTTTGTTTCATGGTGCTGCTGTCGTAGCTTTGAGTAACAGGAAAAGAAACTGGGTTCTCCTCAGGCTGAAGGTGGGAGGAAGACTTCATTCTGCAGTGTCACAAAACCAGTGGAAGATGGCATTTTTATCATGCAGGTTCTTTTTCTCACAAACTGTCAATGCCCTGTGTAGATAAGTGTAGTTTCAGAAACTGCCATCATCAAATTTATCCCAACTGGTCTCAGCAGAAGCAGCAAAACTGGAGGTTGGGTGGGATACTGACTACAGCTCTCTGAAATACTTCAGGTAGGGTCATACCCAGAGGCAGAATAACTTGAACGAGTCCCCTTAGTATGTTTGGGACTTTTATGTCCCATTTAATTTGTTCACTGAACGCAATTAGTAGTTGGAATTCTTAAATTCAATAATATACTAATTTTGTTTGTTTATTTAGGTTTTATCCCCTACACATCTGTGGGGATGCTCCGTTTTAAAGTCAGCCCTGCTGGGTGAGGTGAAGCTGGAAGTGTTGCACACTGATGCCTCCCAATGACCAACTTAAAGCAGCACACTATGTCTGTTTGTACAAACTCTTCCCCTCCCCCACTCATAATATCATCATTAGATCATCTGTTTAAGTAACTATTAAACTTACTATATACCAGCCAGCAAGTGTCTTTGTGTCAAATTCTCATTTAAAGTTGTGCAGTGGTTGCGTACATATCAAGAGAGGGGGAACAGCTGCATCACCCGAACGTGTCTGTACATGGAGCCAGTAGCTCTTGGATTTTTAACACAGTAGCAAGAATTCCAAAAAAGTTGAAATGATACCTAGTGTGCTGCTAAGCTGGAAAAAAAAAATCAGTGGAAATGTTAATTCATATAAAATTCTGTCTACAACTTTAGTATCCAACACAAACTTCAGTCTTTTGTTGTCTGAAGAGCAAGTTGTGTTGTTTAAGGAGTAATTTTGTACTTATAAAAATAATATTCTCTGTATTCTCCTACCTTTTTTCTTGTGTTTCCCTCATACAACTGTATTTAAATAGGGCAACGATAAACTAACTCATTTTTGAATGCCAATTAAAAAAAACAAATCTATTTTAAGGGACAACCTAAAAACCCAGGAAGTAGATAGCGCCTTCCAGAGACAGTGTTTTTAGTTCAAGGTCAAACAATTGATCTTTAACCCGCCACACACAGTTTAAAGTGGTTGTTTAGCACAGGGGTTGTCTGCTGATATCAGTGCTTTTTTGCATATTTTTATTGGTAGAACTTAATGAGATTACATATATTTTGATGAAGAATTGCTACCGTGTAAGCTTGCCACCTACCTACAGTGACTCTTATGAATATTTGATGATTGTAAGTAGTAGGAACTTCACTGTGATGCTCACACACACTAAAAAAAAAAAAAAAAAAAAGGCAAAAAAAGGCAGCAGCACAGCAATAGCTTTTGTTCTGATTTTTTGCTTGCAGTAAACAGTGCGACATTCTGTACGTGTTATTAGACATATCTAAAACGTTTCTGAAAACTAGCAGTTTTGTTTGAATCATAATTTTATTCACTTACCAAGGGAAAGATGTAGGGTGGAAGTGCAAATGTTAATGCCTACGTTTCTATTTTAATTTGAGTTAGGGTCGACTGGTCAATCTTATACTTCTAGCTATGAATTAATAGTTGAGAAAGAGGAAAGAAAACAGTGGTTCGTATTATTTTGCAGATGCAGCAGTGCTCTACAAAATCTGAAAATACTATCTGTCGAACAACAATTGTGTAGACTTCTGTGGAATGTCTTTGGTCTGTGCAGTCCCACCTTATAAATCCTATTTGTCTAAACAGTGCTTTGCTATCATATTGCAAATTAGGCAGTGTCTGTCAATAGCAGGTGTTACATTTTATCATCCCTTCATCTCATTTTTTTTTTTCAGTATAATATATGCTCTTCACCTTGTATGTTGTTTCAAGATATTTTTGTGTGAAGCTATTATTGAAAACCAGATTCTCGATACAGTTGCGTGAATTGTGATACTTGTTTTTTGTTTGCACATTTGAAAAATCACTGATTTTATTACCAGCTGACTTTGCTGACCCTGTTCAAAACACAAGTTAACTAAGTTGCCATAATTTGTTTAAATTATATTCTTTTCATTTTCTTCTGAGATTTGTAGGGGCAGCTACATAGCTATATTTTTCTTAGTGGTGATGACAGCAGCAACAGCTCTAACATTCATAGTTTTTGTACTTAAAATAATCTGGTGTAGTAGTTACTAGAATTATTTTCTCCTGTAGCTCCTGCATATTAAGAGTATAAGAATTCATTAATGCTACTATATTATTATTATTTTTTTTAAAGCTGGAATTTACAGAACTTATTTTTCTTTCAGGGAATCTGTTTCCTCCTATTGCATGTCAAGATCTTCAGTTTGTTCTGAAGGCTGGATATTTGGAAAAACGCAGAAAAGGTATGTTTAACTATCTTTGTGAAAATTATTTAGTTTGTGTTTTATATCTGGGACGTCTATGTGTCAGTATTTGAAGTTGCATACACAACTTTATACAGGAGTGATAAATAAAATTGAATAGAAATTGAAATGTTGAATCATTATTACGCAAAAGAAAGAACAGCAAATAATTGCTTCTATACTGATAAAAGAAAATTCCATTTCTTTGACTCAAAATATCATGCTGTGAAAGTCCAGTATCAGCCATAATTCAGAGACTTTTAGGTATTTTTGAAGAAAACATGAGGAACGTATGTAAAAGTACCATATGTTGACTTCATGTTTCAGTGAGCATCAAGATTTATTTTCCTTCAAGAGGGCAAATATTGATCTCAGCTTTGGTTCAGTCAATATTTACCTTGATTCAATAAATCTTATATTGTCACCTTAATACCCACTTAATGCTGCAATAACTGTAGGAAATATTTAGGAAGTTGTTCATAATTTCTTTATATTTAATGTTTCACCTGACTTCTCTCTTTATATGATTTTAAATTCCCATTTACTTCCTTGCCACCAGCTTTTATTTCTGGCTTCCCTTCTCAGTGCTATACATTTGTCTTCTTCATATCCAGATTTTGCTTCCTTTACTTAGCATTCTTCCAATCTCCTCCCTCTTCCCTCACCCTCAAAAAGAAGTAACACATTTGTGTTCAATAATGCAGTAAAGTGATGTAACACAAATTATATTATTTGCAGACCACAGTTTTCTTGGCTTTGAATGGCAAAAGCGGTGGTGTGTCATCAGTAAGACAGTCTTCTACTATTATGGAAGTGACAAAGGTAATTATAATAATAATGGTGAACCTTTAAAATGATCTTTTAATGAAGAGAAGAAGTATGAAAATAAGAGGAAAAATGAAAGTTCCGGTGGAGAAAATAAGGGCAAATGAAACTTTTGAAAAAATCATTAGTTGTAAAACAGTGCCTTGAATTTTATAAATATATAGAATATTAAATCTCTCAGGATATGTAAGTGATGTGCCCATTTTATAAAGCAGGAAAACTGAGGAAAAAAGTTTAAATTACTTGTAAAGCTACCTCATGTGCCAATAACAGCTAGCTATTAGGTTTGATAGTACTCTAGTACTTAATTAATGTACTGGACAGCAAATGCTCTTTCTGTCCAAATGGTATTTTCATTTTAAAATACCCTACAGCAATTACACCTTTTGTGTTGTTTAAAGATGTTTGACTCCAGGAAAATGTCTAAAAACCACACAGTGGAGTTTCATGTTTCTTTCTAAATTACATTCTGGAAAAGTTAGAAATGAAATAAGATATTTAACTAGAAGCCAGTCATGGAGACTAAAGCTAGCTTCTAAACGTGATTTTTGATGGTCAGTTTTGAAAGAATTTGGCATAAGTGTTGGGATATCACTTTGAATATTCAAAATTGTCAGTCAAATAAAACTTCCTTTAAATTGTGTGCCAAGTGTATTTCATATTTGAGGGTAAGGTAAACTATACAGAGTGATATCTGTAATTATTAAAAGTGCAGTTGTCTCTTTTTTCTTAAAGAAAAAACAGAACTTATTTCTGTGCAAACTTTCCATTTAAACTTTTTTCTTCTGCTTATGTTCGTGTGACTCTACATGAGATTAGTGCAGATAGTCTTTTCATATGGTTTTAATTTGATTTGGTTCAGTTTGTTTCATTACTCAACATGCTGACTCAGTTAAACTCATTCTGTCTTAAAAAAAAAAAAAAAAAGAAAATTAAGGTAAGGATATAATTGTATCTCATGTACTTTGGACTTTTAAGTTCGATTTTCATCTTGCTGCAGTTTCCTCTCAAATTCTGTTTCCAGAATTTTGTTACTATATTTGCTGTATGTCCCCTTTTCTACTTTACTCTTTCCTTGGGATTTATAGATTGGTCAAGCTTCAAAAGCATAAACAATCTTTCTTAGCAAAATGAAGAAAAAAAAAAAAAAAGAAAAAAAAAGAGGACCTGTGGCCTAATACTGTTTTGTCTATAGTAATTTGTTATTTTCTCTGGAAAATTAGTTTGTGCTGCTTGTTTATATATAGTTGCACGTTATATAGAACTCCAAAAACACACATATATATATATATATATTTTTTTTTAGACATTATATTGCTAATTCTTAAGGACTGTTTTGGGTTTTCAAAGCTTTGGCTTTTCAACTTCTAGTTTTTGGTCTTTGGATTAAGGTAGGAAGACTGCCTGTCTCCTTTCTTCCATTTTTCTTTTGTAGCAGTTTGGCTGTCAAGGCTGCATTGTAATTTCTAATACCTGTGCTGAAAATTAAGGTACCTGGAAGCATGTTCCGTAGCATGGGGTTTGGGGTTGGTTGAAAAATCAAGAATTGATTGGGATATACTGGGACAGCTTTCCTTTATTGATTTTCAGACATGCTTTGGCTTATACATGTAGAGCTTTTGTAGGCCACAGATTTGTTGGGGAAGATCCCCTAACCATACCCTAATGACATGGGAGAGGTGCATAGTTGATGGAGCATCTTCTGGGATCTGTGTAGATGTGTCTGGATTCCATGACTAGCTCACTGAGGAAGCAAACATCTCAGATGCATGAATTTCTGCTGTGCCTCCTTGTGATTGGTGCTGTTAGTGCAGGAAAAACTAGCACAGCAAGGTGGAATTGTATTTTCTTGCAGATCTGGGATGACCGGATGTGTCCAGAATTTTAACAGTAACTCCAGAACTTGTCTCTGAAGAAAAAAACTTTATTTTTTAGACTAATATGAGGTACTTTCTTCAGGCCTGTGATGCCATGGTATACAAGGGAGCCTGTTCCAGTGAAGAAGCAAGTTGCCATCATTGTGTGTAAACTGAATACCTGTAGTTTCCTTAGATCAGTGGCAAACTAATTTACTATTGAAATCGAGCTGTCATGCTGGTGTTTGTGGACATGCATACTGCTGTTTGTTATGTTCTTTAGCTGCAGATTGTCAACACGGACTAAGTGTGTGATAAACGAATCCCGAGGAGATCTGGCATGGATTTACTGGAAGAACATGAACTGTTCTCACTCCCACTACAGCCAGCAGTAGCACCTGCTGCAATATGCTGTAGCATTTGGGCCCTTCTTTAGCTGAGACCTTTGGTGCTGCACCAGATAACTTGGGTCATGTGGAGAAGGAAGCTGTGTGGTTCACAACTGTAGGATAACTGAAATATGCATTCAGTTGGCTTAATACAAAACTACTGCCACCTCCAGAACTATTTAGATGGCAGTTATCTGAGTGATGTTGGTCTGCTCTAGCCTGTCTGCAAACATTTTGTATCAGCTGGGTCCTGCTTACTGACAGATTCACGCAATAGGAAAATTCCCCTTTTGTCAATGTGAACCCAATTTGAAGAGAGACCAGGCAGACGAGTGGGTCCATGTATGCTTGCAGTCATGCTGCATGTTACCTTTATGAGTAATCTAGTGCTGTGTGTGTTGGGTGACACAGGTCAGAGAGGTGGCTGGGATTTCTATTTCTTGTTTTGCTATGTTTATGTTTTTAAATTCAGAACATGTAGACCACTAATCTGTGAAGGGTAAGTTATATCTGGTAAAATATGTATTTTGTTGTCCAAGTTTTGATTTTTTTTTTTATATGCTTAAATATCAGTGTAACTGAGTGCTAAATTTGAGGGTAAAGATTTATATTGTGTAGATGATTTGATGTTTCCAAAACACTTTTAATTATAGTAACTTTTTTTTTTTTAATATTAGGAGAATAAATATGGAAGGGTATAGAACAGACAAGCACGTGTAAGGAAAAGTTGTGGAACCATTTTTCAGACCTGTGTATTGCTAATGAAAGATATGTGGCCTAGTCCAGAAGCATACAGTAAAAGCTAAAGCCTGTGAAAATACAATAAATGACTGTGTGTGTGTTCACATAAGAAGTTACAAGCATCCTTTTAATGGTTGTGATGCCTGCTGGCTAATTCATGTCTTATTTCTTTTTTTCCCCTATTTTTTCTGATACTTTCAGTGCAGTGTGGATAGTGAAGCAGTTACCTCTGCAATACAGACAGGTCTAAGTATGTCACCTACATTTTTGTTTCCTGATCAGTGATGGAAAAACAGGTCTTAAAGGTTTGACCTAATTAAACGTCGGAAGTATGTATTGCAGAAAGTGCATCCATTTTTGCACTTGTGCTGCAACATTAATCCAGTATGTGGCCCACACAGAAGTGCAGCACAATGTTGAAGAGAAGCATGTTCAAATACCACGGCAGGCCTGGCTTTCTAGAAGCTCTTCTGGTCCTCGTTTTCATAGTTTTTCCCTCCATAAACATTTACAGTCCTTCTCTTTCCTTTGCTTCCATGAAGTAGCTTGCTGAGTTAGGTACCCTGTTTACAGGTATCACTATTTTTCTCTGTGATCTCTGGCAGTGCGTGTGTACTCAGTCACCTAGTTAGTACTTCTATCCCTTCAGACCTCAAAGCGTATGGACAGGAGAGTTAATTTAAATGAATAAATTAAAAGCCACAGTTTTATATGCCCTTCTGTCTGAGCAAGCTGAAGGGATCAGCTATATGTTTAGCTAGGTAGTAATTGATAACTGAAATTGGTAATCAAGTCTTGATTCTCCCTAATTACCTACACTTCAGTTTATAGTGCCAATGTAGTGACATAGGCGGAAGAAAGATACCCTAATTAATTCTTTTTTTCCCCCACATTATTGCCTTTTTTAACTCCTGAAGTTTCATTGTGCCTGTGGCTATATGTCTGCAATAGTTGTTAATTTTCAAAGGAAGTTCAGATGTGCAAACAGGTAAAAGTTTCAGGAAGGTACAGGTTTATATAAGATCTTGATTCAGGGGATACTAAGCAGAATGTCCAATTGCAAGATGCTATGAAAAAAAAATTGGCTTCTCCAATAAAAAAAAAAAAAAAAAAAAGAAAAGAGATCCTTAGCAAAATACAGTAAAATAGTGCTGGTTGTCTTGTTGAGCAATATATCTTTGTGAGTAAAAGAAGGTGCTGCTTGTTACCTTTTTTTTTTTTAATCTTCCCCTAATCAGTAGTTAGTGTAACTGTTAAGTTGATGTCCATTACTTCAAGATTTCCTGTCATCTTGGTGGTTCATAAGTCCTGCATTGCTCTGTAGGCTCAGTTAGTCCACTGGGACAACTTTACAATCCAAGGCTTTTATGTCTGGGATTGAACATAAACTGGTGTACTAAATAGTGTTTCAATCTTTGCCTCCATTTTTTCATTTTATCATCTAGATTTCTCAAAAGAGGAAAAAAAAAAAGACTATTGCAGTTCAGATTTGCAGTCTAAAAGAAAGTGTTTGCTATGCATATGTTTGGAAAGGGCTATTCCAAAAGCTGGAAAAGGAATGACCATTTTGGAGATACTGACATGTACTATTTTTAGAAAACATGTGGTAAAGTATGTGAAACTACATTTAGCATGAAGCCATGTAAACTGTAAGATCTTACAGACTCCTAATTTCAAGATGAAGAGAGCTAAATTATAGATTCTAATAGTATCTATAAATACTTTATCACTTTTCTGAAATCCTTCTGTTTGCCTTTGTTCCTTATGCCTTTCTCTGTAACTTCTTTCCTTTCCACTCTCTAAGTCCTCTCTGTTCTACAGAGTGCACTAATTCTTTTTACATGTGCTAATAATATGGTCACATCGCCTTAGGCCTCAAATTTACAACCCAATCATTTCAAGACCCAGCTGAAGGTTTACTCTCCTTTGTTTTAAAAGTTCCCATGGACTCAGTTACGCAAGGCTACTTCACAACCCTTTTTCTCTGCTTCCCTTGAGACTCCCTTTTCCTAATATAATATTGGCCCTGTTTCCGTTGTTAACAACGTGTCACTATTTTTAGTATGCATGAAGCTCATATGTAAGAAAAATGTTAAAAATGTTTAAAGTGATCTCAAATTTCATTCAGATCTGTATAGTCTGTTTTAAAACTGAAATGTGCCCTAAATTTATTCATCTCTAAAAAAAATTATATCCTAGGTTTGACTTTTTTCAGTACTTAGTTGTCTGACTGCCACTTTGTTGTACAGTTTCTTTACCAATCTAAATTGCTGATGCAAAATGATCTGAAGAAACCCAGATTTTTTTTTTTCCTGATGCATACCTGATATGAGGAGAAGGGAGAAAGAGGAAAAGAGGAGAGTAAAGAACATCTTATTCTGAAATGAAATTTGACCTAATTCTGGAACAACTTCTGCTTGATGATGATTTTTTTTTTTTTTTTTTTTTTACAAAACTGATAGTGTTATACTTTTGCAATTCTGTTCTGTGTTGTACTGTGACAACTTAAGAGTTTCCCGTTGTTGAATTGCAAAGCCCTATCTTGAGAAAATAAGAGGTAATAAGACTGCTACCCTTTTTCAGAGAAGTGTGTTTTATTTGTCCCTCCCTCATCCCTTCCTAATATGCTGGTATATTCCTGCCTAGGAAAAAACTCTGGTTCTAATTTGGGATTTCAAAATGAAAGTGAAATGTCTGTGATGTAAATGGGCTTCCTGAGGCTGTGGACATCTAAGGCTCCTGCCATTAAAAACATCTATATCTAATTTTTGGTCTCCAAGTAAAATCCTTAGGTCTAAAGTTCTTAAACATCAAAACCTGTTTAATTCTCTCTGAAGCACAGTCTCCAGAATGTATTTCTGATGTATAGTTCTGAATGGGGAAGTTCAGAAGTCACACCTGCTTAGCTGCAAGCATTTGCTAATAAATGAAGTTGAGGTGATCACTGAGTGTGTTTGTCACAAGATGGCCCAGCCTTCAAGCCTACTACCTGACTACGGTGCCTGGCCAAACAGCTGCTTTGGGTCACAGTCTGCTTCACAGCGATCAGGTACCAGGGTTGGTCTCCAGTCCTTCCTAGAGAGGTGTATTCTGTAAGAGCAACTGCGATTTGTGAGCCTCCATTGCCTATCACCACCAGTGGATGAAGCCGAACCGTTAATTGTCCTCTGTCCTGCCATTTGGTATCTGTGAAGCAATTTCTCAGGACATACTAGCTCTGTTGTTTGCTGCTACAGAGAGTGTGAATCCATGCTTAGTCTTTCTCTCAACTTCAGTGGGTTCTGGGTTAGAGTTGTGAAGTGTCAGGTTGTCTTAAAATTTCCTCATAGTTAACATTCTAAAGAGGCTATAGTTAACATTCTTTAATCAGGGCTGCTTCACTGCACAGATAATTAGAAGCAAAAGTAGCAATGCTATGGCTAGTCTGCTGCCATAAAGTTCAGTGAAAGAATTTAATAGCAAAGGATATACGTTTTTTTATTGGTATATGCAACTAATTTTCATTATCACACAAACACAGTGTTCTGAGAGTTAAGACAAAGATGGTACAAACAATAAAACGATCAAATACAATATGGATACCATATACTGTGTTATCCTTTTAGTACAAAGTCCAATATCTTTCTGTTATAATGCTCTTTGAAAGAACTAGTACTGGTACAGAGATAATCTCTGATTAACTCTGTAAAACTGTGTTAACATAAAAGGGATTTTTAATGTCACAGAGAAGTATTTTCAGAAATACTCCAAGAGTCTGAATTTGAATACTTGCCTCCTTTTTTTCTTAACAAAATATTTTTACTCTTCAAACCTGGTGTTTGTTCATTCTGTCTGTGTGCTCCTGTCTTCCTGGGGTTTTGATAAACCTCCAGCGTGGAAGAGGGAGAAATTAATGTGTTCCACTTCATCTTCTCCCTGAGGTCACAAGTGAAGGAACAATGAAATTTCTAGGCTGAAATGAATTTCATTAAAAGGGGACCTAGTTAACCTATTGCAAGTTTTTATTTCTAATATCTGCCTTGGTGTGATTCCATGAATTTTACATTTGCGTCCTGTTTGATACAGAGGTGGAGGTTTGAGCAAACATAAAATATTAATACTGAATCTTTGCACTTAATGAAGACATAATTAAAGGTACTGTTACAGAACGGACTAGAAAGAGGTAATAGAACAGTGCTTAGGGTTTGTTCAAGTAATTTTTTTAATTTGCCATTTGCTTGCCATGGGTGAGAATTAATAAAAAGGTAGAAGCACAGACTATGAATGCTAGTGAGAGTGTTTGTATAGGGACTGCCCTTACGTCCACTGATGTTCATGCTGCTGTTAGCCACTTTTTGCTATTTCAGAATGGAAAAAAAATAATTTTCTATTCAGTTTCCAGAAAGGAAACAAAATAATGTTGAAAATGTAGTTTTTCCTATTTTATCTACTGTAGAGGCTTTCTCATTTTGTTGACAAATACAGGCAGTGGATTAGGACTTGTGCCTAAGTTCTGTTCAGCAATGCTTGGAGTGCTGTTGCTGATGCTTGTTGTTAATGTGTTCCCCTTCTGTAGGGGGAAAAAAAAAGAACAAAAAAACTTAATTTTGTTTTATTTTATTTGCATCTACACTTTTTTTCTGGGAGGCCCAAGCAAAATGTGACTAGTGCCTATCTTCACTTGAGTGCTGCACTGTGATCCACAGAACTTGCAGAAATTAAATACTTTCACCTTTTTGTTTTCTTTTTAATATCCCCCAAACATGCCAGAGCACATAAAATCAGATGTAGGCCTTGGTCCAAAGAGCTCAGAAGGAGCGCACAGGTGGCACTTGCCCAACGTGCAGCATATTTAACACAGGCTTGTTCTAAGCGATACTTTTATAAACCAGAACCCTTAAACTGAAAAGTAGAACCATCTTTAAACAACCACATGGCTCTACATAATAAACTGTGGTAGGGCTCAGTACTTTTATTAGCTAATTAAACTTTTGCTGTGTTGAGAAGAATGCTTTGGGAACACACGCCTGAATGTATAACAAAATTCATTCTGTACTTGTACCATGTGGAAAGGAAGCACATCTGGGAGTGAGTGGGTGAATGTGAAGAAAAGCTTTTCCAATTGCTTCAAAAGGAGCTTGAAGTTTATTTTTTAAGTAAAGTGGTTAGTTTAGGAGGGAGTTCCGCAAGTTCTGAGCTAGACAGGTTTTCCCATTGGTTTACTGAACCTGAAAGAGACACTGATTTATAGGAAGCTTGCCTTGCAAATTCCAGTTCTTGGGTTTCCCTAGATGCAAGTGTCATAACATGCACTTCTTACTAAATAAGACCACCATCTGCAGACATCTCTCTGTGGAATTCCTTAGGCATCATACAGAAAAATATACTTTTGTGTTCGTCTTCCATTTAAGTAAAACTTTATCTTCAGAAGCATCACCTAATCATTTTGCTAAAAACCTCCCTGTTCTTTGTAAAATTCATGAAATAGAAAACCAAATCTGAATAAACGATAACCTGCTGAGCCACTTACATTCACTGTTGTAAATGAAGCTCTAACTTTGTTTTTTATCTCCAACAGACAAACAACAGAAAGGTGAATTTGCCTTAGAGGGCTACACCATCAGAATGAATAATAACCTTCGGAAGGATGCAAAGAAAGATTGCTGTTTTGAAATCTCTGCTCCTGATAAGCGCATTTATCAGGTTGGACTTCTTATGTCGACTTGAAATTAAATTGATAAAGCCGTTACAATTCCAGTTACTGAATTAACATTTCAGTAAAACAACTTTCACTGACATCTTAATGAAAAAAACGAAATCCCTTCTTGCTTATACTGTATATTCATATATAAGGAAAAAAAAATCTAATTTAAAATATATATGTATATGTTCAAATGTTATCTTTTTGGACAAGAATGGGGAAATCTATCATCTTTATCTATTGGTCATTTCGATGTAATTATTTTAATACCTATTATATGGTATGTCTGCATGATTTCTTGGATGAATTAAGTAGTGGAAAAAAGTTAAACAAAATATATATCAGTGTTAAATACATATTGTATTGGTCATGGCTTTGCCAGGAATATCTACGTAAAGGCACATATCAGCTGTGCAATTCAGAGATCTATCAGCTCGACATCAATATAGAATGTAAGTTTAATAAGTTTTAAATATCTGAGATTGCAGTTGAAAGCCAGTTAATTAAGCTGTCAGGTAGTGTGTTGGAGTCTGACAAGAACATTTTTAAGAAAACTGTACCCAGCAGTCTAAAGAAATTCATGGGTGTCTTCTAATTGTCAAGGGCAAATTTTGTTCATCAGTTCTGGCTTTGACATTGATGAAGAGAAGCAGCTTTTTTCTGCACAGCTGCCAGCTGCTGATCAGAGTTTCAAATCCATCATCCTCTCCTTCAATTACGTAAATTTGTCAAAATTAGCTGTACATTATAAGAAGCATCCTTGCAAGAAAAGTACCAGAAGACATGAAAAGAATTACTAATGGTTTCTTGAGGAAGTGACAAGAATGCTACAGACCCTTTTCTATTGCTAATGAAACTGTAGTTATATGTTTGTCGTTGCTACTACTAGTTATTAATAAATATTTAATAGTTTGCAGCTGCCACTCCCAAAGAAGCAGAGGAATGGGTACAGCAAGTGAAATTTGTAATACAAGGTAAGCCAGCCCGAAGAGCCTTTATTATTAGTCCTACCTGGTGACGGTAGTTCTGTCCATTAACTGATCTGTTATGTTTGTATATCTAGTGTTCCTACTTGTCCTAGTTTTGAATAGTGAGTCCTGGATTTCAGTCACGTTTTCGCTTTTACGTAACTTTTCTTCTTGTGCAAGATTCTTGTTTTTTTCCAAGAATAACATTTAGCCGGAAAGCTCTCCCTTATGAATGCTATAACAAAATATGCAAAGTAAACTATAAGCACCAGCTTGTAGAAAACATGTTGTGTTTTCATTTTGCATAAATTCTGCATAGGCTTTATTTTCTAGGAAATGTTAACCTTTTAAACTGCTTTTATATAGATATGGAATCAAATACTATTCCGGAGGAGGAAGAGGAATATGATGATGTTGGACAAGCGAGCAGTGAACCAATAGATGATAGCATTTATGAAGAACTTCCAGGTACTCTTCAGATTTTTTACCTTATGACCCGTGACAATTTTGTCTTCTCTACTGCTAATTTGGTAACTCTGAGTGGCTAAATGTAAGTGGGCAAAGTAACCTGATGGGTAAGATATTTTCAGATTTTAAATTTTACTGTGACATTGAATGTGTCTTTAACCAGATCTGACTGAGAACAGTTTTCTTTAGCAGGGGCATCAAAATAGTGCAGAAGATGTAAAAGTCGTCTCAGGGGACTTTTGGCTCATTAACATCCCCTAGTATATAATTTTTTTTAATTAAAAATTGACTTGCCTTACAGCTTTTTCCACTAACTTGCCCGTATTTTTTTTTTATTCATGTTGGCATTTGTATTGAGCAAAAGTTCTCTATCACTCTAGCTGCTGCCTGATACATGATTATATAATCCTGCAAGAAAGTAATGTGTTGGTTTGAAAGGGCTCTGGAGATGATCTGTAAATAAAGAAAACATATGAGTATTGACATTTTATTTCATATCTTCCAGTATGATTATGGTTATATACAAACTTAATGTGAACAGCTTTTGGAATTGATTATAGATATTCAGGTGATAGGATGAAGATGTTTGGTCTTGTTTATATTTTAAGAAACCATGTAAAAATCAATTAATTTTTTAGATACCATTTTAAAGAAATTATATCTTAAAGTGATATGACAATAATCACTTTGTATGAAATAACGTTCTGCATCCCTTACTGTGTTAGGCAGTGCAATTATCAGCAATAACTTGAGAGGAAAAATCAGTCATGTCACGTGATGCCAACTAACTTTATTTATCTGCTAGGTTGAATATTGAGTCCACCGAAGGGGGGGGAAAAAAAAAGTATGCCTTGGTTTTCATTTTAACGTTGTTTCAGTGAACCAAGGGAGAAGAGAGTACGAGTGACTGATGAAAAAATCAAAACACACCCCACATCATACAATTGGAAAATTGTAGGAGAGCTGTTCCATTTTTTTTGTCTTTTTTTTTTTTTTTCCCATTTCTTTGAATTTTATCTAGACTACTTCAATACACAAGTGCATGTTCTGCTGACATGGGGCACAGTTGTGTCATGCATGCTGAAAAACTCTTCTGCAGTGGATATAAAATCTGTGTTAAGTGTTTAGTCTTATAGCTGGAAGAGTGCAACCAAACCTTGCTGCGGTGCTCTTTGGATGCTCAGGCTCTTAGAGGAGATGATGCTTTACATTTGATTATATGTTCATTAATGAAGATCTGTGTGTGTCCTAGGTTAAATTTCTCTTACCTGAGCTTCACTTACCTTACCCGTTCATTTGAATCTCAAATAGGAAGTAGATCTATAGCAGTAATGCATAAAATATTGGCAGAGAAACAAGAATTAATATATTCTTTGCATTCTTTGCTCTGAGTTCTGGTTTTGGAGAATTGCTGGCTTGATATGATTCAGCAAGAATTTAGAGTGTTTTCACTTATATACCATTTTTATATCAGTTTTCCAGGAACTGTTGTCGCCTAATGTGGCTAATAAATCTGAAATGTAACAAAACAGCTGTCATAAAGAAAGGGTAGCCCTTCTGTTGTTCAAGAAATCTAGTTTCATTTTTCAGTTAAATAACAGTCTTTCTCCATGATCTTGAAGTGGTGCTTCATTTTCATGTTGTGAAGTAGGGATTTCCTTTCCTTATTTTGTAACTAAGAAAAGAGTAAAAGAGTTCCACTTCGGTCTCGCTTGGCTTCATTAGGACTAATTGATTGTATGCTTTTAATTCCTGTTGGCTGTCCTTTCTATTTTCTCAGGTAAACAAATGTATTCTTTCTTCTTTTAATAGTCAAAGGGTGGAGCTCCATTATTCCTTACTAATTTAGAGCAAACAAGGAATTCTGAACTCTCCTTAAGTGAACAGAAAAGAAAAATTCCTTGTAGAGCCCAAAAGCTATGATAAGCTCTGGAGTGCAGAAGATAAATTCTAGATCCTTGTGAGAAGGGAGAAGAAATTTATCTTCGTTTTTTTATCCTTGAAACATCTTGACATTAGATCCACTAGCTTTTCACAGATCAACTAGCTTTCAAATTATATATTTCAGGTATTGTTGTATTTCACAGCGTATTGTACCTTGTTGTTATTTATTTGTGTATAATTTGCCATTTCTCAAGTAATCTTTTGCATTTCTGAGGTATTCTGGTAGTCTTTTGTGTGTGTGTGTGTGTTTGTCAGCATTTCAGAAGCAAATTAAAACAGTTCATGAAGCATTCCTTTTTGTAATACTGGATTTAGTATTAAAGAGTGTTTGGATTATAAAGAAGATATGAATATTTTTTTTTCACTGTTTAGAAAACCGGGGAATTATGGAGAACTGTAGCAGTAAGCAGGATTGGCTGATGCTGTATTCACTAGCTATCACATTGCTTTGTTTCTTGTTTTTCCTCTTGTGGCAGGAGACAGTGTAGAAAAATTAATTTTCCAGACAGGTGCTGACTAGCTTCAAACCAGTATCCAGAATAGTAATAGTCTATTAACCTATTAAAAGCTTAGATTTCAATGGAATTCAATTTGTACTGTCTGCTGGCAGGAGGAGTAAGTTGACAGTTGGAGGGGTTACAAAGACAGAAATTACTCTTTTGATCTCATAAGTCACTTTCTTCTTTAATGGCACATACAAATACATTTTTACCATAGAAGCATCATTTGGTTCTCAGTATTAAGAGTGTTTTACTGTGTTTATTTAGGTGGAGTGAAAAACATCAGAACAGCTAAAGCTTTTCCAACTTGTAAACCTCCCTTGCAAGATTTGTTGGGGGTGGGGAAAAAGAAGTTTTCTCCAGCAAGCCATGCTTTTGTCTTTTTGTTTTTAATAAAAATGCATGTTGAAAATGTGGTCAAGCAGAAATAAAAATACTGTAATGGAGACCCATTTTTTTGCTTAATTAGCTATTTATTTTCTAATTTAGTACACTTTATATAATTTTGACATGGAAATTTTGTACTACAGTCTACAGCTGGATATTATAAGCACAGGTGGTTCCTTGTCTGTAACATAAATTCTGGAACTGTACTATTAAATAATTTTCTGTATGTGTGTAGAGCTAATTGGATGCATTGAGTCTTTAGCCTAGTGCTCTTCAAAAAAAAGAATTATTCTTGTTAGAATGGGAGATACTTGTCAGCATTAAAGATGTCATCAGTTACAATTCATGAAGACAATTTATTAACCTGGGGTCTTAGTGACATAATTTTTAAGGGCCTTCTCTATTGTCTTCCTTGGTCTCGTGTGCATGGACCACAAACCTGAGTTTGCAAAGCCAACCATTGCTTGCCACCACGATCTTTCCTGCAACATCAGCTCTGTGTACCATCTATAGCAGTCTTGCACAACAGGAGAGTCTTAATCGAAGTTAACATCTTTATATTAATTTTCAGTCTTGTCTTTCTTTGCTCTCTTTCTGCTCACAAGTTTGCACTGTAGTAGTAGATTCTACTGTGTACAGTATAGTTTCCATTAAAATGGAAAAGATAAGATTCGAATGTTTCTTTGGTGCTTCTCAGTGCATAAAGATGAAAAGCTGCCCTTACAGAACAGGTAATGTTGGAAATCCCCAAGTTCTGTGGTATGACGTAAATCTGGCATTCTTGGCTTTGTGTCATTTATTTTTAGCCTGTCCATAAAATAGAGAACTTCTGGGTGAGCGAGAAGTAAGGACAGTGAAATTCAGTACTGTAGTGATCTCTAGCCAGGAGAACTGCTGTTGAGAACTAATCCACTCGATACAACTTGCATCACTTCCCAGTTTGCTGTAAATTAAATTTTGGGATCAATTCAGTCTCTGACTGGGACAAGGTTCATGAGAATGAAAAGCTTGCCTTTGTCCTCTGATTCCCACTATCAATTCTCTGCCAAACAGTTTGGTCAAGCTGTAGTACGTGGCCAATAATTCTGTTTTGCAGTGTAGTTGGAAATTTAGCTAGGGAAACTGTAACCAGGGGAAAGCTCAGGGAAAGGTAAGAAATGTCTTAAGTTTTATGCAACACAAAGTATGATATAGAAGGTAACACCTTTCTTTTAACGTGTATACTTATTTTAAACAAAGTCCTTTAGTAGAGTTTTAAAATTTTATTGATATTGTTCAGAACTTTTTTCCAGCATTGTCTATGAGAATAGGGAATGATCAGCCTGACTCTGACTCATGATTGCCTCTTTAAGCAGCCAGTTAACCTCTGCAGTTAAGCAGCATAACTTAATACCATCCTCATCTCTCTTGCTACTGGGTCATTTGAGCCTTGAGGAAGAAAATTGTTTTTTATGATGTTGTAACCTTTTCTTGAGCATAGAGGGGACAAAGGTAAGTTCGTGATCTCTGATTTACCTCTTGGGAAGGAGGAAGTCATGATTATTTAGTGGAGTTTGAGTATAAGCTTGGCCTGTCACTCAGGAACACTGACTCATTGCAAATATTTGTGTTCTCAAAATGCAGTGTCAGATGTATTGACTTTGGTGTTAGAAGTGAGATTTCACAGTGATGTGTTAAAGAAAATTCCTTTTCAGAAGACCTTTGCTTACTTTTAGAATTTTCAGTATACCATGGTCAAGGCCCATAGGACTAATGCTGCATTTGGTGTCTGGCAGTGGGTTACAGGTGTACAATTAGTTCCTACACCCAGTAGGCTAAAATAAAGAAACTGTTAATAGACCATTGTGAATCAGAGCAGTAGGTCTGAGTCAGCAGAGACACAAGTGATTGGGGAGTCTGAGATGTTACTTGCAAGGATTGCTGTTAAGTTAGTATATTGTATATGCTGGTATATTGTCTAAATTCCTCCCAGCATCTTTTGTTTGCCTCAACTATTTATGGAGTTCTTTACTTTTTACCAACAGAAGTTGTACTGATATGCTATTGATATATTTTTTTTCTCCACAGACGGAATTCTAACTGCATTTTCTTAGTAAATGAAGTGATTTCTAAGTATAAAGTATATGTAGGCTCTGGAATATTTGAAGCTGAAAAGACCAGGTGTAAGAT